GAACCCATGGCTTCAGGCATGCAAGGCTAGCGCTCTACCACTGAGCCACCTTACCAGCCCTGCAAAAATTATTTAAACTAATATATTAAATTATTGATCATTAAAATAATTCTTCCAGGCCCAAGATGAGACTCAGAGGGAGGCTGTTTGCTCCCAGCATCGCATAAACAAACAAAACAAAACAAAACAAAACCAAAAAACTGCGCAATTTTAAGCACATGAGTTTAATGATTAATGAAGTTTATATTATATAATTTGTTTTTCCAGTCCTGGGACTTGAACTCAGGACCTCTGGGTACTGTCTCTGATCATTTTTGTTCAAGAATAGCACTCTACTACTTGAGACATACCTATTGGAGATAAGAATCAGTCTGGCTTCAAACCAGTTTACTCAGAGCTCAGATTCCTGAGTAGCTAGGATTACGGGTGAGCTACCAATGCCCCCTCCTATATATCATTTAATTTTAAACCACTTATTTAAAGCTGGAGGCATGGCTTAGTTGTAGAAAGCCTAACAAGAATTAGATCCTGAGTTCAAACTCCAATATTGCCTAAAGCAAGTAAGTAAATAGATAAATATATACCACCATTAAAAATAAAGCCAAGTTCCGGTGGCTCAAGCCTGTATTCATATGGGGCTGAGATCTGAGGATTGTAATTTAAAGCCAATCCAGGCAGAAAAGTCCCAGGAAACTCTTTTTTTTGGGGGGGGTCCAGTCATGGGGCCTGAACTCTGGGCCTAGGCGCTGTCCCTCAGCTCTTCAGCTAGCGCTCTACCACTTGAGCCACAGCGACCCTTCCGGCTTTTTTCTTTTTGCTTATGTGGTGCTGAGGAATCGAACCCAGGGCCTCTGGCATGCAAGGCATGCGCTCTACCACTGAGCCACCTTCCCAGCCCCCCAGGAGACTCTTATCTCCAATTCACCACTCTCAAAAAAAACCCAAAACCCCAGCCCCAAAACAAACAAAAAAAAAAAAACCCCAAAAAATGGAAATAGAGCTGTGGCTCAAAGTGGTAAAGAGCTATTCTTGAGCAAAAGAGCTCAGGGACAGCACCCAAGCCCTGAGTTCAAGCCCCACAACAGACAAAAAAATAAAGCTTTCTGGTGTTAGTGAGTCATACCTGTAATCCTAACTACTTAGGACTCTGAAATCCAGAGGATAATGATTCAAGGCTAGCTCAAGGAACAAAGTTCAAGAGTCTCATCTCTAAAATAACCAGTAAAATGCAGAATAGTAGTGTAGCTCAGATGGTAGATTGCCTAGTAAGCAAATGAAAGACCATGAGCTCTAACTCTAGTATTGCCAATAAGTAAATAAATAAACCCCTTATTAAATTTGTTATGTGCAAAGATAAAATGTGAGCCTTAGAAAATGTATAAATTAATATTTTTTCCTATCAAAGTTGCCATAGCCATTACGAGTATACTATAATTAACATTCTTATTATAAACATAACAATTACCTAAGAAAAATAATGTGAGGGATTTTTTTCTGGGTTTTGTTTTTGTTTTTATTCTCTAGGGTTTGAACTCAGAGGTTTACAATTAGGAGACAGATACTCTATCACTTAAGCCACATTCTCAGCAATTAAGACTAACTTTAAAAAAATGATATGTGGGCTGGGAAGGTGGCTCAGTGGTAGAATGCTTGCCTAGCATGCATGAAGCCCTGGCTTTGATTCCTCAGTACCACATACACAGAAAAAGCCAGAAGTGGTGCTGTGGCTCAAGTGGTAGGGCGCTAGCCTTGAGCAAAAGAAGCTCAGGGACAGTGCCCAGGCCCTGAGTTCAAGCCACAGGACTGGCAAAAAAAAAAAAAAAAAGGAAAAAAGAAAGGGAAAAAAATGATATGTGGTAATAATAGAAATTTGAAATGACAGATTTATTAAACATTTTTAGGCCATCATGTTCCAAAAGGCTATAGGAGACTCAAAATGACAGAATGTAAAATAAAACACTGACAGACACAACAGATTATCTCAGGAAGACCAGTTCATATACAGTTATGTCTACAGTAAATTTATAACTTAATTTACAAGCTTTTCTCAGAGATATGTAAAATTATATAAGTGAAGAGGCAAGTTATATCTTCCAGTTAACATAGTAAATATACATTGATTGTGACATACTTATTTCTCCAGAATATACAAGGCCAAACTAAGGTGATATTTCATTTTCTTGACTTGTAAAAAGAAGAGATCCTCTAGATTTCTGGGTAGGAGCAATAGCTAGCGATTCCGCAGTGATTTTTACTATTTCTTGCCATTCGAATATATCCTTGTTCACCAAAGCTGATGCCCCAGCTGAGAAAAAGAAATAACATAAAATGAAAAACAAATACAATAAAATCATACCCACTTTTATCTGTTTTTGTCCTAGAGTGATTTCATATGAAACAAACACCTAAGACAACAATGCAAGGTTCATCCCAATGTTCCTGCTTTGTAAATATTCCTTGTGTAAGAACAAGTATTTATATGGCTCCATTTCTAAGTGTTTTTGCATAATAGGATCAAAGCAAAGCAAACAAGCAAGAGAAAGGAAGAAAGAAAGATTCCTCTAGGATAATTTTTGTTTTATTTTGATTATTTGTTTTTTGTTTTTGTGCCTGTCCTGGGGCTTGAACTCAGAGCCTGGGTGCTGTACCTGAGCTTTTTTGCTCAGAGTAGTGCTCTACCACTTGAGCTACAGTGTCACTAATGCTTTTTTTTTTCTTTAGAATAGTTGATTGGACATAAGAGTCTCATGGGCTTTCCTGCTCAGGCTGGCTTTGAACTGCAATCCTCACATCTCAGCCTCCTGAGTAGCTAGAATTAGGTATGAGCCACCAGTGCCTTACTAGGAACAACCATTAAGATGTTTTAGTGGCTTAGTGGTAGAGTGCTTACCTAGCATGCATGAAGCCCTGGGGTCGATTCCTTAATACCACATTAAGAGAAAAAGCTGGAAGTGGTACTGTGGCTCAAGTGGTAGGGCACTAGCCTTGAGCAAAGGAAACTCAGGGACAGTGCCCAGGCCCTGAGTTCAAGCTCCAGGATTGGCACAAAAAAAGCAAAGCAAGCAAGCAAGAGAAAGAAAGAAAGAGAAAGGAGAGAGAGAGAGAGAAAGAGAGATTTTGAGCTGGGCGTGGGTGGCTAACACCTGTAATCCCTCAGGAGGCTGAGATCTGAGACTGGTGGTTTGAAGCCAGCCTGGGCAGAAAACTCTGTGAGACTCATCTCCAATTAATCGCAGATCTCAGGGACTGCACCTGGGCCCAGAGTTCGAGCCCCAGGACTGGCCAAAAAGAAAAAAAGAAATACTTCAAGTGATTTTAATGAAAATGTCATAGGAAAGGGGATTCTAAAGTAACTGATGAGCAGGGCAGATTAGAAAGACATGAATGGATAAAATTTATCATAATTGAAGCTATTCAAAAATAGAATGTGCTCTTTTGTGAGGAAGTAAACTCCTTGGCACTGGAAATTGTTGAGCAGAGAGTTGTTGAACGACTTGTCAGGGATGATACTGAGAGAATTCATGGGATAGACGTAGAAGACACCAATGATCTGCTCACTTTTTTATTACATGCACATAGAAGATTTAACATTTTTTTGTAGAATGATATGAACTTATCAATTTAAAAGTTAACATATATGGAAATAAAAATTAGTTGGATGCTAATGGCTCATGCCTGTAAATCCTAGCTACTCAGGAGGCTGAGATTTGAGGATTGTAGTTAAAGCTAGCCTGAGCAGGAAAGTCCATGAGACTTATCTCCAACTAACCACCAGAAGCCAGGAGTGCTAACTTTGAGGAAAAAAAAAAAAAAAAAGCTTAGGGGGCTGGGAAGGTGGCTCAGTAGTAGAGCGCTTGCCTTGCATGCCTGAGGCCCTGGGTTCGATTCCTCAGCACCACATAAGCAGGGGAAAAAAAGCCAGAAGTGGTGCTATGGCTCAAGTGGTAGAGTGCTAGCCTTGAGCTGAAGAGCTGAGGAACAGCGCCCAGGCCCAGAGTTCAGGCCCCACTACCGGACGCCCAAAAAAACAAAAACAAAAACAAAGAAAGCTCAGGGAACAGAGCCCAGGCCTTGAGTTCTGTCCTCAGGACTGGTGCACATGTACATAAACAACACACACATGCACACACACAAATTTTATGCTATTATCACCATAATTTCATTAAAGAAATGACATTTAACACCAAAACTAAAAAAGAATGACAAAAGAAAAGAGGATATGGTCTCTCATTTAAGGCAAATGCTCTTTTTTTTTTTTTTAATTTTTTTTTGGGTCCGGTCGTGGGGCCTGAACTCTGGGCCTGGGCACTGTCCCTCAGCTCTTCAGCTCAAGGCTAGCGCTCTACCACTTGAGCCACAGCGCCACTTCCGGCTTTTTTTTCTGCTTATATGGTGCTGAGGAATCGAACCCAGGGCCTCTGGCATACAAGGCAAATGCTCTACCACTGAGCCACCTTCCCAGCCCCTGGTCTCTCATTTAAGGATAGGCCTTTGAATCAAATGAATATAACTTTATGATAAGTCTGAATTTATTTATAATTCAGAGATTTTGTCACTATAATTATACAAATAATTATTAGATAAGGCAGAATCCATTCAGTGCTAAAACTACAATACAAGCAGAAGCATGAAATTGAGAATAGCTAGTGTATTTGGAGTGCAGTAAAAAAACTTAATTGAGCCAGCTGTCTGTGGCTCACGCCTGTAATCCTAGCTACTAAGGAGGCTGAGATCTGAGGCTCACAGTTCAAAGCCAGCCAGAGCAGGAAAGTCTGTGAAACTCTTATCTCCAATTAACTACCAGAAAACCAGAAGTGGTGCTGTAGCTCAAGTAGTAGAGCTCTCACCTTGAGCTGCGCCCAGGCCCAGAGTTCAAGCCCCACGACAGAGAAAAAATACATATAGTTGAAAGGAAAACTGGGTGTCTTTACTGGAGAATGAGAGAAGATGGAGCCCAAAGCACATGATAGTGCATGCCTGTAATCTCAGCACTTGAGAGGCACAGGCAAGGATTATTAGTTTGAGAAGAAGTAGTAGAATCTTGATGTTGAGGTCAGCAGAAGGAAGCTGTTGCAAAAGTTTGTAAAGGAAGATAGTGTATTTGCATGTAGTGGAGAAACTTAAAGGGCTGGTTTTTGCCAGAACTCAAGTTGCATAATTTAATGAAGCTGTGTTTAAAAACTTTTTTTGGGGGGGAGGAGGGTGTCATGGGGCTTGAACTCTGGGCCTGGGCGCTGTCCCTCAGCTCTTCAGCTCAAGGCTAGTGCTCTACCACTTGAGCCACTGTGCCACTTCTGGTTTTCTGAGTGGTTTATTGGAGATAAGAGTCTCACAGACTTTCTTGCCCAGGCTGGCTTTGAACCTTGATCCTCAGATCTCAGCCTCCTGAGTAGCTAGGATTATAGACGTGAGCCACTGGTGCCCAGCTGTTAAATATTCTATGTATCAATCCCCAGTGGGCATTTTTCAAGTCTTATTTTGTCTCTTTGTACCATTTAATACAGTTGTCTACTCTCACCTCACTTCTTTCTTGGCTTTGAAACATTATTATATCTGTATTTTCTGGTCTTTTTTGTAACTTCTCAACTTCTTTCTTGGACTCCTATTTTAGCTTCCTTTATGTACTTGCTGCCTCCCCACTTAAAACCCTTTAATGGCTCGCCAATAACTTTACACTAAAATGCAAACTCCATCGTTACTCTTATCAATGGGTGTGGTTTTTTGTTTTGTTTATATTGAATGTGAAGAAAAAGTATGTGTATGTTATGAGGAATAATTAGGGTCAGTACATGAAAAAAATATATGCTGGGCACCAGTGATGTATGCCTGTAATCCTAGCTACTCAGGAAGCTGAGATCTGAGAATCATGATTAGAAGCCAGCCCATGCAGAAAAGTGCCTGTGAGATTCATATTTCCTATTAACCCCTCAAATATTGGAAGCGGTCCTGTGGCTCACATGGTAGAACAAGAACACTAGCCTTGAGCACAAAGAGGCTCAGGGACAGCACTCAGGTCCTGAGTTCAAGCCTCACAACTGAAAAAAATTAAGATACAGAATTTTCCAACGTGGGCTGGGAATGTGGTAGAGTGCCTGCCTGGCATGCATGAAGCCCTGGGTTCAATTCCACAGTACCACATACACAGAAAAGTCCAGAAGTACCACATACACAGAAAAGTCCAGAAGTGGCGCTGTGGCTCAAGTGGTAGAGCGCTAGCCTTGAGCTGATGAGCTGAGGGACAGCGCCCAGGCCCAGAGTTCAGGCCCCACGAGTGGACCAAAAATAAATAAATAACTAAATTAAAATAAAATGTAAAAGTATATTTAATTGAAAATATTGCAAATACCTAACTTCATTAGAGGTAGTGATATATACTTGAAAATCAGAAACATGTAGGTTATGGCTAAAGTTGTAGGAATGGGATGATATAGAAAAATATAGAATAAAAAGATATTGTGCAGAGGATGGATGGATGGGAGGGAGATACCAACATTTAGGGCTAACCAAAAGAATTCTTGTTCATAAGGGGAACTGAAAAAAAAATAGAGAAGTATTGAAGAAGACAAATGATGAAAACAAAGAGATGAAGGCTAGATAGTAAGTAGAAAAATGGAGGAACTGAGTAACTTAGAATATTATTTGGTAAGAAACTATAGATGTTTATTATTGTTAATGTCATGATGATGATCATCATCATAATCACAATATCATTTGTTGATGTTCCTTCAAATTCTTGATTTAATTAAATAGACAATAATTTACAAATATATTACCTGTTTTTCACAAGCCAATAGTCTTTCCCATTAAGATTACCATAGCCAACCACTACCACACCATGATTCACGTTCTGAGTACATTCTGGGTCATCGTAGACACCTGAGAACAAAATTTAGTTGTGGGAAAAGAATGAATGCCATCTGATAATAAAAGACATTTGAAAATTCTCTTACTTTTTCTTAGACCATTTTGGACATAGGACAAGATTAATTAAAATGTTAGTAACATACTTTCATGTATCAACTATTTTAGAGCTTATCATTCTTTGACATCATGCTATATCTGTCAATTTTCCTGCCAAGTTCAGCATCAGTTCAATCATAATTCCCTCAGATGTTTTGATCCATGTGTGCATTGCATAATATGTTTGTCTCTTCAAATACATAACTTCTTTATTTGAAAACATTAAAATTCCTTTCATCCAGTCTTTTGAAATATATACTATGCTTCATTATAACCATCTTTTTTTGCTATTTTTTTTGTTTTGTTTTTGTTTTTTGCTAGTCATGGTGCCTGAACTCTGGGGCTGGGCACTGTCCCTCAGCTCTTCAGCTCAAGGTAAGTGCTCCTCCACTTGAGCCACAGCGCCACTTCCAGCTTTTTCTGCTTATGTGGTGCTGAGGAATCAAACCCAGGGCCTTATGCGTGCAAGGCAAGCGCTCTACCACTGAGCCACCTTCTCAGCCCCTGTTATTATTATTATTTTTTTTATCGAGGAAAGATCCTGAGTGCTGGAATTGCAGCCATACATCACTACATGCATCTATAATAATCTTTCCAGTTACTGGGGATTGAACCCAGGTCCTCAAGTATGCTAGGCAAATGTTTGAGTCATGCTCCAGCCTTGGAGTATTTATGGTCATCTTAATAAGCAATACTACAAAGTACTGTTTACTCCTATATAACTATAACTTAGTACCCATTGGTCAAGTAGTCCCTATTCCTCCCTTCCTCCTATTTTACCACTTTCTCTTAACAATTATTCTGCCTTTTTTTTTTTTGGTGCTGGTCCTGGCATTTGAACTCAGTGCCTGGGCACTGCCCCTGAGCTTTTGTGGTCAAGGCTAGTGCTCTACTACTTGAGTCACAACTCCACTTCCACCTTTTTTGGCAGTTAAAGTTTCACAGACTTTCTGCTCAGGCTGGCTTTGAACCATGATCCTCAGAGCTCAGCCTCCTAAGTAGCTAACCTTATAGGCGTTAGCTATCAGCACCCAGCTGGCCTGCTTTTAACTTACTGGTGTTAACTATTTATTTATTTTATTGTGATATTAGGGATTGAACACAGAGCTTCAAGCAAGCTAGACAAAATACTTTACTACATGAGCCACATCCCTAATCTGAAATCATTTTTTAAGTATTCTCATAGGAGTAAGATCATGCAGTATTTGTCTTTCTGTGACTGTTTTATTTCATTTAATATAATGATCCCGGGTTCTATCCACGTTGTTGCAAACAACAGGATTTTCTCTTTCATGGCTATATATACTACATTTTCTTAATCCATTCATCAGTTAGTGGACATTTGGGTTGTTTCCATTTCTTGGCCACTTTGAATAGTGTGCTGCAGTAAACATGGCGGTACAGATGTCTCTTCTACGTACTGATTTTCCTTTATACCCAGTAGTGGAATTGTTGTATTACAGCAGTAATTCTTATTTTAATTTGGGGAAGAATTTCCATACCACTTTTTATAATGGCTGTACTAGTTTATATTTTCAACAACAGCTTAATCACTTTCAGGTTGTATGACTTTAGGTAAACCAACTTCTCTACTGAGATTTTTCATTTGCAAATTAGGGTTATTGTGGTGGTAATTGAGATCTGACACATAAGGAATTTAGCATATTACCTGGCATGTAATTAGAAGTGGCTATAAAATGTTAATATAAAATGTAACAATCTGGTTAACCTATATGCTAAGTTAGCATATAACAAGAGGATAATATATCGGTTTTTACCGCTTCTATAGAGGAAGAATGAAGGATGACTCGCATCTATGGCAACAGAAACAGGTCCTTTATTGGCCACAGCTTCCTTCAGTGCATCTTCACTTCCAAAGGGTAGCTCTGTGTACTTGGAACATGTAGCAGCTCGATTTTTTGAATCATAATGGCATTTTTCATCCTTTAAATAAGTATAATCAGATAAAGAAGCATAGTTAGAATTCCTTTCTAAATCACCAATACTCTTAAGTCTAGTTTTCAAATATGCTTGCCTTCTGCACTTTATTTTATTTTTGTCAGTTGTCGGATTTGAACTCAGGGCCTGGGTGCTGTCCCTGAGCCTTTGTGCTCAAGGTTAGCACTGTACCACTTTGAGATACAATTCCACTTCTGGGTTTCTGATGGCTAATTTGAAATATGATTTTCACTGACTTTCCTTCCCCAGGTTGGATGTGACTGCAATCCTCAGATTTTAGCCTCCTGAGTAGCTAGGATTATAGGTATGAGCACCTGACTCATTCTGCACTTTATTGTTTTTGTTTGTTTATTTGTTTTTCTTGGTTGTGGGGCCTGAACTCTAGGCCTAGGTGCTGTCCCTCAACAATTCAGCTCAAGGCAAGAGCTCTACCACTTGAGCCACAGTGCCACTTCTGACTTTTTCTTCTTATATGGTGCTGAGGAATTGAACCCAGGGCCTAATGCATGCAAGGCAAGCACTCTACCACTGAGCCACCTTCCCAGCCCATCATTCTCTGCATTTTAAAAGAGATATGACACATAAAGAATATAGCATAATACCTGGCATGTAATGTTAATAAATTTTAGTATTACTTAAAAAAATTTTTGTATGCCTCTACTGGGTGTTGAACTTGGGGCCTTATGCTCTTGCTCAGCTTTCTTGCTCATGGCTGGCACTCTACCACTTGAGCCATACTTCTGGTCCAGCATTTTGCTGTTTAATTGGAGATAAGAGTCTCCAATTTGGGTTCATCTGCCAGGCCCAAAAAATTAAAAAAAAAAAAATCTACCTACTTAGCCTCATGAATAGGTAGGATTATAAATGTGAGCCAGGTGCCTGGCCGCACTTTAATCTTTTTTTTTTTTGGGGTCCGGTCATGGGGCCTGAACTCTGGGCCTGGGCGCTGTCCCTCAGCTCTTCAGCTCAAGGCTAGTGCTCTACCACTTGAGCCACAGCACCACTTCCGGCTTTTTTCTTTTTTCTTATGTGGTGCTGAGGAATCGAACCCAGGGCCTCAAGCATGCAAGGCAAGCGCTCTACCACTGAGCCACCTTCCCAGCCCGGCACTTTAATCTTTTAAAGTATCTATGACTCCTTTTTTCTTTTCTCCTCTTTCTCCTCCTCCTCCTCCTCCTCCTCCTCTTCCTCCTGCTCCTCCTCCTGCTCCTTCTTCTTCTTCTTTTAGTGCCAGTCCTGGGGCTTGAACTCAGGACCTGTGTGCTATCCTTGAGCTTTTTCCCTCAAGGCTAGTACTCTACCACTTGAGCCACAGCTCCACTTCTGGCTTTTTCATGGTTCATTGGAGATAAGTGTCTCACAGACTGTCTGGGCTGGTTTAGAATCATGATCATCAGATTTCAGCCTCCTGAGTAGCCAGGATTATAGGCATGAGCCACCTCGTCACCTGATGATCTGAGAATCAGGCGAAGCATGGAGGCTGTCTAATAAGACTAACAAAAGATATTAGGGAGATTATTCAAAGAGAATTTTAAAGATGGCTTGGCTAAAGTCTTTGTTTAATTATGAACACTCCTTCCTTGTATAAAAATATTTTGCCGCTGGTTATCCCCACACTCACTGGGGACTAAGCCCAGGGTCTATAACTATACGAGGCAACCCCTGAGCCACCCTACCAGCCCTTTGGTCTTGTATTTTATTGTGAGACAGGGTCTTCCTTTACCTATGGTTGGCCTCAAACTCCTGAGATGCTTGGATTATAGCAACTCTGATATACTATATACACCCACTGCCACTAACAAATTAAGGAGGCTATTGCAGAAGAAAGAAAACTCAGGAATTTAAGAGTTATTCATGGGTCTTCTCTCTCATACACATAACACTGCTTCTCAGATAATCGAGTTAGTGGTGATTCTGGTACAATGAGTCAATGAATTGAACAAGGTCATGGAATAGCACACAAAGTTTGCCTGTGACATACCACAGCTTTGTAGGGATAGGAAGCTTCCGAATCAATGCCATTGTTGTCAATGATGTACTGGAAAGCCTCTGTCATGAAGCCACCTCCGCAGCCTTTATTCTGGTATTTGTCAGTTGAACAGTCCACCAGGTTCTGTGCACTGAGAGATATCAGCTTTCCTGTTTTCAGCTTTAGCTGTGCTTCTAGTGCTCCCACAGCACTGAAAGCCCAGCAAGCACCACAGGCACCCTAAAATACACATAAGGTCACAAAGGAAACCACAGAAAATCAGTGAGGATAGCTTTCACAATATAGAGCAACTCTTAGCCGTGTCACATCTGTCCGTAATTCTCAGGAAGCAGTCCCCACTACAATTTCCTTCTCTCTTAGACAGTGGGATTAAGACTAAATCTTTTATTGTTCTCTAGGCAAGGTTCAACCTTGATATTTGTAAATATCTAAGCTCAGAGAATAGTAAGCATAGTCAAATATATTAAGAGTATTCACTGAGCATGTGCCAAATTCCACCTATCTTCACCTCTAAGAGGAGATACATGTCTACAGTCACATGATTTTAAGAGGCAATAGGTTGATTTCCTTCCCCTAAAGTATCCTTCCTCAGATCAAATGATATCTAGGAAAATCAGGTGTAACCTAACCAATGGATGAGATGAACACTAACTTGGCCTTACAGAAGGATGTATATAGTTAACCGTTTTTGTATACAACGGAGATCTCATAACCACTGGTGTTCTAAGCACTGAGGGAGTAATAAATAAAGTGTAAATGCGATCCTTACCCCAAAGGACCTTACAACTTAGTAGGGAATACAAGAACAACAAACACAAAAGACTGAAATTCCTTTCCCAGTATATGGGTAAACACAGAGAGAGAGAGAGAGAGAGAGAGAGAGAGGGAGAAAGAGGGAGAGGGAGAGAGAGGTCTGCAGGTCTGCGTAGAATGCATAGGCATGGGGTGGTAATACTCACCTGGTATTTCCTTCAGTAACACACCCCTTTTCTCTCCAGTCCATAGAATCAGGCAATTTCCCATTAGGGTTTGACTTATAGGTGACATTTCTCTGCCATTGGCTGGGAACTCTCAGGGAACTCATCAAAGATGCCACCTCTTCACTGGTCTACAGAGCAAATACACATCACTTTTCACATATCCTTGTTTGTTTGTTTGTTTTAAAGCTGGCAATATTAGTTTTAACCACAGTGTTTAATAAAATTAGAAATATAAATGAAGCAATGTAATATTCTTTTTTTTTTTT